AGCAGCAAGGCCAGCCCCAGCCCTGCCTCGGCCCCACTGCAGTATCAGCACAGAGGGTGAAGGGAAGGGGACTGGGCGGATCTTGAATTCTGCGAGTTTCAGCTTAAAGAGAAATAGTGGATGCTGAGGATGCTAACAGACGCCGGGCGAGCTTTCTCAGGGGGATGCTAAAGAGGAAGTGCAGGCAGCATCTCCTGGACCGGAGGGTTTCAGGACCCTGAGACTGATACCTTCTTCTCAGGAAGTTCGCAGGTGCAATCACATTGTTTATCTGAGAGCTTGCCAGGAGCTCCCGGGGAAGAATTCTTCCCACCTCTGACCTCATCACGGCAGGACTACATGTAGTATAAGGAAAGAGCTGTTGGGCCAGGGCCGGGCAATTGCAAGGACCACTGCGGACTCTCAGGCACAGAGGGCAAAGCCCTGGCACTGGTGGGTGGTGGCAGGAGACCCGGGCTTGGTGGGTGATTCTCAGAATTGTGAGAGCAGCAGAAAGCCCTGGACTCGGACAGAGCACTGACAGGGTTGTAGTGCCTTCCACGTGAGTATGTGTGTACTCATGTGCGCATGTGTGCCCGTGTGTGAGTGTGAGTGTGTGTGTGCACATGTGTGTGAGTGTGCATGTGTGTGTCAGTGTGCATGTGTGTGTGTGTGTGTATGTGTGAGTGCGCGCGTGTGTGTGTGATTGCGCACAGGTGCTTGTCTGGCACCTACAATTTCAAAGTGAAAGCAAACTCACTAGAATAACCCGCGGATCTGGTGGTGGCTGGTTGCTTGGAGCTGCTCTATGGACAGCATGTGGGTCTGAAATCCTGTTCCTGGGAGCAGAGGTGAAGTTGGGGTGAAGCGTGATGCGGCCCCAGTCCTGCAGGTTCCACCCTGGCTTTGTGGCTGCTCCTCAGGGCTTGGGGCAGCACGTGCTGCTGGAACCCACCTCCCAGGGCAGTTTCAGAGCAGGCCGGGCCTGGGCACAGCCAGATGGCAACGGCCCATTAATGATGCTCATCTTGGGCACAGCAGGGGCACGGGGTTTAGTCGCTTCCCATTTTGTTGGGTCTGCCAAATGCCTTTTGGAGCTTTCAACCAAGTTCTTATGATGCCTCAATAGGGTGCCTGGTGGAGTCCCACTGACCTTCCACTGACCTTGGTCAGTGGTTGCTCTTAGGAATGCAACTGGGGCCCAAGTTGTGGGATGCAAATGTTGTTTTGTTCTCGTATAAAGGCAAGATGGAGGGAACATCAATATTTTGATAGTTTTGTTAAACATACAACCTGCATTTGAAGAACCAAAATTAAGTCTGTCTTTATGTTTTACTTAAACATCTCTTTTCCTCAGACAAAAATAACAATAGTTGAAGGTAGAAACTGACAGAATTCAAAATTAATGGTTAGGAAACATTCTCAAAATTGCACTTTGCCAATCAATTATGTAACAGAAGAGAAAGCCGAACCTATTCTCATTGTGTTATTATTGTTATTGGTGTTAGACTTTTCACCTCTCAAGTGACCATTGCTATGGTTTATACTAGTGCATGAAAGTGTGTTCATGTATAATATGTTGTAATCTCCTGCCCTTCCTGAATGGCCTTGGACTTTTATGAATAAAGTCCCGGTTGAGAGGAGAGGTGCCCAGAGACCTGTTGCTGGACCAGACCTCCCAGAGAGAGATTCCGGCTACCTGCACCCCCACACTTGTGCCGTCTGCGGAGGACCATGGCTGTGGCCTGGCATTCGGGGGACTGTCTGGCCACTTCTGGAAGATGGCCTTGTTTTACTCAGCACAACCTGTTGGCTGCAGATCTGGTCAGCATGGCTCTGGAAAGTGCCTGGGGCGCTGAATTACTACAAATGATTATGCTCCATGTAGCAACAACAGGCTAAGAGCGTCTCCTGAGAAAAGCTGTGCTTATGAGATAACCAGCCCCATGAAGACTTGGAAAAACACAAATGTAAACAAAACTTTCCGAGTGTAGAGCTGGACCAAACACCTGAGTGATTGAGGGAATCCCCACGCCTGGGCAGGAGTGATAGCATGCACTCGCAGGAGCACCCACTCTTGAATGGCTGCACTTCTGGAAACAGCTATTGAAGGAAGACACCATTCAAGTCACAGGACAAAGGACTATTCCTGTGCGTTAAATAGGAGCGTCCCCTGGAGGGAGGAGTCCACCCCTCTCCCCACAGCAGCCCTGTTGGCGCTGAGTGAGAAGAGCCGCCTGTCAGTAACACGCACAGCCGCTTCTGCGCTCCCATTGGAGGGGCTACTTGGGTGGCATTGACGTGCACCATTAACGAAATGCTCAACTTAAAAAATGTTTCTCCTTTCATGAATTCTTCAACTTGACAAAGCAATAATTCTCATTTTTGTGTTAACTATATGTTTGCCCAAATTTAATGAATCATCTATGATTTTTATATCATTTTTTTTTCATTTTCCCGATTTCTAGTCAGGGTCCTCAGACTGAAATCAGGCACGTCCTAAGGTCCAGGCTGGTTGGACACAACCACATCTACATAAATCTCAGTCAGGTCCCCAGCGGGCGTCTGAGAAAACATTTTGGGAAAAGGGTGTGGGCGTTTTTACATCTGTGCTCAGTGACATTGAAGCTGGTTGACCATTCAATTTTGGAGATTATAGTTCATTAACAAGAAAAAAAAGGCAATTACATTTTTTTATATATCTCCACCTATGCTAGTGTTTTTCACAAAATGTTTAGAAAAAATGGCATGATATAATAAAATTGGCCATCTTAAGAGAATTTTGCAGTTGCCTATGGTGACAGTAAAATTTTACTGATTAAATATAATTACTTAACTAAGTTTGAGAACTTAAACATATAAACGTAAGCCTTCTGCTGAACACGTGGGTTTCAGTGGTTGTGACTGAAGGTTCCAAGAGTGATTCCTTCATGTGCAGATGATGAAGCTCTGACAGCAGTCGTTTTCAATTAGAGTGATTGCTCTGCTCCCACATTAAAAAGGGACCAATTTGTCAGTACGGTTAAGCTGTGCAAGACTAAACACGAACACAAAAGTAAACTACCTTTTTCTCTACTTTGCTATTAGGTTTAATATACATGTAATACTAGATATTTGGTGTGTATATGCATTGAAGCAAGGGCCTGGCATTTCCTGATATTTAAAATTTACTTCCAATTTCTGAGGACAAATTACTATAATGAATATTACCAACGAGGAATTCATCAAGACCAACAAGCCAGCGTCTTGTACAATTTGGCGCTTAGTAGGCATTCGAGATTATTCTCGAATGATTTTTATGTAAAAATTTTGTAGCTCTTGTTTTGACTCCAAATAACATCTACCCTCCAGTTCATTTCTAACGCAGGGAGAAACTTGATTTTGGAGCCTTGCCCCTCAAACCTGGTCCTGATTACCGCCTCCACTCCTGTTTATATAATTCTGCGCAGTTTTGGCAGGATTCAAGAGCACATACCAGGGTGTTGGCTTTTATGAATCTCCTGGGATGTGAATGTCAAGCCGACTGGATGAACTCTGGCCACAAAGCCCAGACAAGCACAACGACTCTATTTATTCAGACTTGGCCGCCTGAATGCAGATGGACTCTGTGGGTAATAAATTTTCACAGGCCAAGAGTTCCAGCATCAACCAAGCTGGTCCCGGGAAGAAAAATGCACCCAGGGCAGTGTAGCGGGGCTGCTGATCCTCCTGTGCTGTGGTCCACGTCTGGGTGTCGTGCAGCCAATGCATTTGGTCGCTGATTGACAGGCACGGCCAGGGGTTCCTTTTTAAAAGCTCTGCTTTCTGTTATGCAATAGTCATATTAGAAAGAAACAAGGGAAAAAATGAACAGCACTCACTGCAATGGGCAATCTGCTCTCACTACCACACCCCACACTACGGCACAGAGCAGAGACCTGACACAGGAATGTTCCTGTGTCTCCCCACGAGAAACCCAAGGTATCAAAGAGCAAGACGTGCGGCTGAGCCAGCCATCCTGGCAGCTCCGATGCAGCCAGGCTTTCCGTTCACACTGAGATTCCTTCTGAGAGACACGATTAGTGCTCCACGCGTTCAAGTAAGACAGGAACGGGCTCTTTAACTTGAAGATTGATGTTAACTACCTAGATATCTATTACATTAATTGTGCTCTCCAAATATTGATTGGGGATTAAAAGGTAACTTTTCTTCATGGTGAGGAGTAAATTATGCCAGTGGGAGAATTTCCCTCTACAGACTTTACCCAATGATCATGGCCTGCAAAATTAAAATTGTCAGTTGTAAGTGGATAACCCGTGCTCATTTGCAGAGAAATATGCAGTTCTATAATTAAAATGAAAAGACGGCCTAATATGCATGGATAATGTAATCACTGGAAGAGCTGTAGGCACATATGTAGCCATTCGATTTGGACCCTGCTCCCTTCCTTTCTCCACGCTTACACATTTGTCATCTTGGAGACACTGCCCTCACCTGCCACCAGCTTGGCTGCTCCTTGCGAGAGCCTCAGTCCTTGTCCCTCTCCTCATGCCTTCGCTGTAAGTTCATCTAGACATTTGCTGTGTCCCTCCTCCCGAGCCTGGCCTGACATGACCGGAAGAGCTGTCCTTTTCAACACATGCAATACAACTCTCATCTCCCTTCCAAATGCATTTAAAAACTCCTTTGGTACTTTGTAGCTTCAGGAATAATTTTGTCTTCAACCTTCTAACTTATTCACATCCCTCCAGGGAAACACTGCTCTTTGCAATTGTTCAAAAACCAAGAGTTACAGGAAAGGAGATCAAACAAATTGCTACAAGTATCACATGTCCTTCACGTACCCAGACAAACAACAAAACTGGTTCTCATAGTTTATCCTATTCCCAGTTCGAACCTCATCAAGTATGAAATTTATAGGAGCAAACATGCTTCCATTTCAATGATATGTCCAAGCTCTCTGGGTAGACCCTGTCACAATCCCGGCTCTAAGGTCACAAAGTTCTGCTCTCCTCGCAAAGGAAGGCTGTGCAGACACCCACCTGCTGGCTTTGGAGGCTTCTGTCTAAGAAAACGTCTGAAAACGTGTAACTGCAACATGGCTTGGCGTTAAGCTGTTTACTAAGTGGCTACAGACATTTCCAGGGAACCTGGAAAGACGCTTTCCTCCTAAATAGGTAGCTTACTGGTGCATCACTCTACAGTCCACTTAGGATCTTGGGTCTTACGTGTGGTCTTCTCTGCCAGCACCTTTGATCTTTGGATAGATCTAATTTGAAAAATCAGTATTGGGTAAAGAAATAAAGGTAGAGAAAAGTAACCTTTGATACTGGATAATGGGACAGCAGCAACTACTGTCCATTCATCTCCACATTGCGCACTCACTCAATTTAGCGCCTCTGCTGTGCAGACACAGTCCCTGCCTCGTCAGTAGAGAAAGATAGTTTAAAAAGTAAAAA